CTTCGTGTGAAAGTTGATAACTTATGTGAAATAAAATAATTATAGATTGCATTATGGGCCGCAAGCACGAAGAATATGGGGTAGATCTCGCTTCGCGTGAAAATCGAAAACCGATGTGGAATAGAATAATTATAGACCTCACTTCGGACCGTAAGTACAGGGGACGTGGGGCTTCGCTTTGCGTGAAAGTCAAAAACCCATGTAGAACAGAAGAATTATGAACTTTATTTCGGGTCGCACTATATTTTGAGTGACCCACTTCCAAAGAATCGAGAACCTTGTGCTTACACAATCGAAAAATTTAATGGTATATACATATAACATAGTATTAAAATAAAATTTGAATATCTTAGAATAAAACGTTTTTTCCCACTCGCATTTGTGACATTCGACTTCATTTGGTACGTATTACGTCTGAAAAAATTGATCAAATTCGGAGATGCGTCGCATACGAAAATCTTGTCTAAAGCATCTAATTATACTTTTATTTTTTTACATGAAATAATATCATGTGTGCAATGAACATGTGTGCAATAAAGTTGTCTGAAAGTGTTAATATGATTTCTTATTTTATGTGTGCAATAATGTAATGTGTGCAATGTGTATGTGCGTAATAATATCATATGTACCTTCGTTTCTTTATTTTTTTTCCTGTGTGCAATAATACATGTAGGCAATAGGGATGTAGGCATTCGGGACCCCCGCCCGAGCTAACACAGATATTTTGCATACAAGGAATTATAATAATAATTAATGTATAATAACAAATTTATTACATAAATTTGTATGTGTGTGTGTGTGTGTTGAAGAATATTGAAATTTAAATATTGAAGAATATTTTGAAGAATGTTCTGCCAGCTTGGTTATATATCACATTATCCGAGAATACTGTTTATCGTATCCTTTTTAAACGAATCCCGGATTTTATTACAATCGCGATCACTGACTTTTAACGGACGTATTATTGTATATTGACTTTGTATGTTCCATTTATTTATTATATGTTGTTAATATTCAGGTTGTTTCACTCTCTTATATATCTATTGTACATATCTTATATATTATAAGATATTATAACATATATCTTATATCTTATATATCTTTATTATATATCTTATATCTTATTACATATCTTATATCTTATATATTTTATGTCTATATATCGTTAATTCAGGTTGTTTCACTCTCTTATATATCTATATATCTTTATCTTTTTAGTTTTAATTTATGACTCATATTGAATATGAATCTCTACTTCTATGGTTTATCAATCATGGAGAAATTCGATCTGCGACGTGATAACTATATGACAATACGTGCGATTTTGCAAGTTTTTTATTTGTCGTGATAGCTTCATTTTATTTGTTAATAAATCTAACCTGTTTATATCCATTACGATTTATTATTTGTATCTGTTATATTATCTATCTCTTGTGGTGAAAATGGTCAAAAGAGAGCCGAAATTTCCGCGATTTCATTTCAATATTCTTCAACAACTTTATTTAATAAATTTGTTATTACTTAATAATTTAATATCATTATAGATTCTTGTGTGCATAATATCTGCGTTTATAGCTTTTTTTATAGCTTTTTATTGTTTTTTTTTAATTTTTAGAGCCGTTTATCATTTATATTTAACTATTGATAATCTAACTTTTATTTTAAAAAGCTGATTGATTCTAATTCAATCGATAATCACATGTATAACCTAATTTAATAAATATTTTCATATAGTAAGTCATGTGTGCGCGCGCGTATGCGTGTGCGTGTGTGCATGCGTGCGTGCACGCGTGTGTGAGTGCGTGCGTGCACGCGTGTGTGAGTGCGTGCGTGTGTGTATTTGCATATACCTGAAATATAATAAACGTTACTAAGATACTTAAAAAACAAATGTATTGAAGTTGAGCAAATTTCGATTTTTTATAAGGCCATAGACCAACTACCAGCAAAAGGGCTCGATTGAGACTAAAATACCGATCTTCGATACTGATCATTTCTTTGTTAATATCAATACGCGTTTGAAACATTTTTTGTAAAGTGTTGCATATTCTAAATCTAAATTATAGCTATTTAAATATTCTTTCTAAGTTCTCTTTTTTATCGCGAAACAAAATAAATTTAGAAAGAAAGTATTCTATAATTTAATTCTTATACTTATGCACACTGCACGAGATAAAATACTGTGAGATATGAGAATATATTTGCACAATTTAACACCATTTCGTTAAAATGCAGTCGCCCATTAAGTAATCGATCTAATGCGAAAAAATTAGCCAGATGTTTTATTTCTCATGAAATGAAATGTACGAGAGAAGTCCTGGGGTGCGAAAATTGCGCAGGCGTAGTTGTCAGTTCTTGGCAGCACATATCTGTGCCTCAGTCCAATGTGACACTCATAAGTTACACCTTATCTTTCATGGTAAATATTTTACAATCGCTACATTACTACAAAATATTGTGTACAAATAATTGTGTACAAAGTGCGATTTTTCAAGAAATATTACTTTGTTTTATAGTATATTTTATAGTATATTTATAGTATATTTTATAGTATATTTTATAATATTTTTTAATATTTTATAATATCTTTTATATCGTTTTATATATAATACTTTTCTATACTACAATATTTATTTCTTCGTAATCTTAAAAAAAACAAAATTGAAATTGATTATGTCTTTCTCTCTCTCTCTCTCTCTCTCTCTCTATATATATATATATATATATATATATATATATATATATATACAGGGTGGGTCATTTTAAGTGATCCACCCCAATAACTTTTTTATATTTGAATGTACAACAAAATGTTTCAAATAAAAGTTGCTTGACTTCGAGGGGGACAGAAGATGGGTGGCAAAAATTTGACCTTGGATAGTCATTTGAAGGTCACATAAAGATTACCTTTAATTTCTTAAATGGAACCCCCTATTTTTCATTGCATATTCTTGTAGCTTATCTCGAGAGCTTTCCAAAACACTATAATTAAGTACCTTTTTATTAAGTACTTTTTGAGTTATAAGGCTTAAAATAATTTCTTAATTTTACATAAACCATAAAATATCTAGTAAACCATTCATTTTTCGATTATCTTACCTTGATACTTTTATGTACAAAATAATGAGAGGAATCAATTGGTGTAAAGAAAACACATAGTTGTTTCTAAGAAAAAATATGTAATTTGCAATTAACAATTCCATATTTTTTCTTAAAAACAACTGTATGTTTTCTTTACACCAATTGATTCCTCTCATTATTTTGTATATAAAAGTATGAAGGTAAGATAATCGAAAAATGAATGGTTTACTAGATATTTTATGGTTTATGTAAAATTAAGAAATTATTTCAAGCCTTATAACTCAAAAAGTACTTAATAAAAAGGTACTTAATTATAGTGTTTTGGAAAGCTCTCGAGATAAGCTACAAGAATATGCAATGAAAAATAGGGGGTTCCATTGAAGAAATTAAAGGTAATCTTTATGTGACCTTCAAATGACTATCCAAGGTCAAATTTTTGCCACCCATCTTCTATCCCCCTCGAAGTCAAGCAACTTTTATGTGAAACATTTTGTTGTACATTTAAATATAAAAAAGTTATTGGGGTGGATCACTTAAAATGGCCCACCCTGTATATACAGGATGGGGAAAAAGTATGGAAGCAAACAATTATTTCCGAAACTATTCATTTTTCGACAAAATGTCTTAGACATAATTTTTATGGTATGAAAAGATGTATTATGTGGCATAGACGGCATGACCTTGAAATGACCCTTACGAGCTGCATACAAATAACGTAAAAAATTTCAAATGGAACTCGTCAGTTTTTGTTACAGATTCTTGTAGCTGATGTCGAAACGTTTACAAAACACTGCATATGAGCCCCATTCCCTTAAAAACACTCCCAGTTACGAAACAATTGTGATAATTCGTATCGACGAAATTGAAAATAGACAGTGTACGTGTGATTACATGAATGTATGTAACGCGACTGAACGTCATTATGAGAGATCAGTACAACAGTAGCGATTACTGTAACAAATGGAGAATAACCCGCTTCGATCATTTCTGCCGATACGAAAGACACGCGAAGTTCGTAGAATCAGTTAAGGCGTACATCGAACTGTACTCAAGGAAAGAGATTGCGTGATTCATCCAACCAGTTAAGACAAGATAAGTGCGATTCATCCAACCAGTTAAGGCAAGATAAGTGCGATTCATCCAACCAGTTAAGACAAGATAAGTGCGATTCATCCAACCAGTTAAGACAAGATAAGTGCGATTCATTCAATCAGTTAAGGCAAGATAAGTGCGATTCATCTGCATCTTAACTGGTTGGATGAATCGCACTTATCTTACCTTAACTGGTTGGATGAATCACGCAATCTCTTTCCTTGAGTATGGTTCGATGTACGCCTTAACTGATTCTACGAACTTCGCGTGTCTTTCGTATCGGCAGAAATGATCGAAGCGGGTTATTCTCCATTTGTTGCAGTAATCGCTACTGTTGTACTGATCTCTCATAATGACGTTCAGTCGCGTTACACACATTCATGTAATCACACGTACACTGTCTATTTTCAATTTCGTCGATACGAATTATCACAATTGTTTCGTAACTGGGAGTGTTTTTAAGGGAATGGGGCTCATATGCAGTGTTTTGCTTAAACGTTTCGACATCAGCTACAAGAATCTGTAACAAAAACTGACGAGTTCCATTTGAAATTTTTTACGTTATTTGTATGCAGCTCGTAAGGGTCATTTCAAGGTCATGCCGTCTATGCCACATAATACATCTTTTCATACCATAAAAATTATGTCTAAGACATTTTGTCGAAAAATGAATAGTTTCGGAAATAATTGTTTGCTTCCATACTTTTTCCCCACCCTGTATATATATATATATATATATATATATATATATATATATATATATAAAAGATATAAAAAGAACCAAAAAAGTTCACATAAATATATGTCATATTTTACATTCTTTCCGAGTTATAGCCATATTTGTGGTTCTGCCTACTTTCACAAAAAGTGCTCGAAATGCTCACCTTCAGTTTGAATGCAAGTATGTAGTCATTCTATCCCTACTCTTCCAAAAATTCCGTGTATTTGTTTAATCTGTTGACAGGTTTGTTGAATACGAATAAGTTGAACATTGGCAATAGGAGACAATTGATTTTAAATGTCCCCAGAGATACAAATCTAATAGATTTGAATTGGGAAACTGAGCGGGCTAAGTAACTGGACCACCACGACTTATCCATTGATTGGCAAACCGTTTGTTCAGGTATTGTCTTGCTAATCGACTAAAATGTGACGACGCACCATCATGCATAAATAATTTGACATTAAATTTCATTGCGCAGATCCTGCTCGATTTTTGGCGACAATCTGTTGTCAAATTGCGTCGCACAGATCCTGTTCAATTTCTTCATCAATCTGCTGTCAGTTATATCAGCAGACTTTACTCGATATCTGCTGTGAATTTGATATCAAATTTCATTGCGCATCCTGCTCAGTTTCTGCAATCAACAAACTGTTTTGCACAGGTCTTGCACTCTTTCTGTCGCCAATCTGTTATAATAATTTTATACAACTTCTGTTTGATTTCTGCCAACAATCTAACATTAAATTGCATTACTCATATTTTGCTCGATTTCTGCAACCAATCTGATATCAAACTGTGTTGCGCAGATTTCTGCCATCAATCTGCTATGATAATGTTAAACAAATCCTGTTCAGTTTCTGCTATCAAATTATGTCAGCAGGTTTTGTAACATTTCTGCTGACATTCTGTTACCATTTGATAACAGAATGTCATTATTTGATATAACAAATTTTTTATACAATCTGCATTCTTACCGTTGACAAAAATTTATAGCAGAAATTGATAAAATCTGTGTGAACAGACTTTGCTGATTAGATTACTTCATGGAAGAGACCGAGATATTCCTTTTTCTCTAAGATATAACAGTTATCTTATTATATTGTCATTATATTCTCAAAATAAATAAATAGACTTTTCTTTGAATCTTGATGCTCGAGTCTCTCAGGGCTTATCCAGACAGATTTGCATGAACGCACAATGCAAATGCATAAAGAAATTAACCAATCAAATGGATAATGTATAGGACCATATTGTTACTTTCTTCATTTTAGATGAATAATGGGTCAACTTTTCCGTGCATATGCATACATATTTATGCAATTTATTTTTTTATGGTTAACATAGAATACATGCAATCTACATAATATGCGGTATTTATAGAACCGTATGACTGATGTTTTGAATTCAAGTACGTGAGTCGCGGCTAATCTTGATACGTGTTTATGATGCCTTTCTTGTATGAAAATGTAATGTAAAAATGCGAATATTGTTATAATAATTAGACTAGAATAAAAGATTGAGTCATTTTAATCTTCAATTTTAAGCTTCAATTGCAAAACAACGTTTTCTGAAGAGAATTGTTTTTCTTTATGTACAGGGTGTTAAAAAATAACATGAGTTTTTAAACCTGTATATAAAAAATTTAATAATATGAAAAAGTAAGCGTACAGGATATCAAAATAATCCTAAGACATTGACTTTTAATAAATTATATGTTCGATGTGACTTCCATTTGAGTTTAAGCAGAACTCGAGTCGTCTTTGGAAGGCTGTAAATACTCTGACAAGCATCTCGCTATCAATGGTTTTAATTTTTTATGGCAGTTTCGAGTTCTTGTTCATTTGTTGGTCTCTTAGAATATATTCGGTCCTTTAGAAAGCCCCATAGAAAAAAAAAGAAAAAGAACGATGCATGTTGTTGAAACTTTTTTATTAAGCTGAAAACAACACAATCAAGCTTGGATGGTGCGAAATTGCAAAGAAAATTAAACTTAACAGTGATTTTTAAAAAATCGTCACAAAAGCACAATCAGAAAAATTCGAATTCTAACCTTGTTAAAGTGTTGTCGCACGGGAGTTTTTTTATATTATCTTAATCGGTATCTTAGAGCGCGAATAGCTGCAGCATATCTAGAGCCATTTTCATAAAAGGATGTGATAAGGCACACCTTTTGGTCGTTTGTGAGGTCAGTTATCATAAAAATAAAAATATTCAGCATAAACACTAATAAACACACGTTTTAGAGATGCAAGGGCGTTGGCAGTAAAGCAGTAAGAGGAGAAACTTCTAGCTAAAAATGTTTGAGAGCTACGCGCATGCGAAGTACCTCAGGGTTTTTTTTAACACCCTGCATTTGTTTTTGAACACCGACGTTTAAACTAGTTATTTGATGTTCAGAAGTCATAACATATTAAGATAAAATCTTAATGCCACACTAATCCTTCTCGTTAATGCAATTAATTAAATGTTTTTTTGAATACAGTTTGAGGATTGCTTCAAAGCTTATTCGCGATTGAAAAAGACTCTCTCAAGATTCATCTCAGATCTCATACTGGCGAGAAACCATATATTTGCGAATATCCAGGATGCAGCAAAGCTTTCAGTAATGCCAGCGACAGAGCGAAGCATCAAAACAGAACGCTAGTGAGGTAAGTATCACATTTTTCTATCCTCTTCAGCTACTCATGCCGAAAGAAAGGAGATTTAAACAGAATAAAATTTGCATAAGAGAGATATGAATGCTAGCTAGTATGTTATTTTATATATTAATAGCCGACAGATAGCTCAGATTGTCTTTCGATATCTATGATCATTGCTTAGATAATTCTATTTAATCGCATTATCGAAATTCTTGCCTATCAGAAACTATACGTCTGCAAAGTTCCTGATTGCACAAAGAAGTACACGGAACCGTCGTCTCTGCGAAAGCATGTCAAGACAGTTCACGACACCGAGTTCTACGCGAACAAGAAAAACAAAGGTGGCGGTGATAGCGACGAGGCAGGTACAGGTGGTCACGGTTCTAGTAGAAGCGAAGATTTTCATCCAAAAACTAGTCACTCAAGCCCAAGCGTCAAGTCCGAGAGTGCAGCCAATAGTCCGCCCAGTATGATGCAGCAACAAGGCATTGGTAGGCAGTTGCAACGACAAGGTTGCTGGAATAGATGCCCTTATCGGTGATGGAATCACTCTTGCCGAAGAGCCGTGGAACGTGAAGTCGGACGATTTAGATATCGCCGATCTTCCTGTAGCACTACGTGCCATGGTGAGTCTTCCGGATTGCTCTTTAAATCATGCTCTCTAAGTTTTAAGGTTTTTTTTTAAGAACGGGTAAAGAAGAGGTGTCAATAAGGCTGTTTTTTGGCTTACGTCAGAATCGCTCCAAACTGTGGTATTTTCTTCCTGCCGATGTATCTTACAACCTCCTAGAACCGTTTGCTGTCCGAGCAATTAGAGACTGAGAACGGGCAACTTGAAACTTCAAAAATCGATGGGATGTTTCACATAGTAGTAGAACCGGTCTCATTTCAACATGTCATTGTTGAACTTCCATTACTCTATTTTCTCAAAAATTACTAGAGTATGTGCTGCTTTAAATACGAAAAAGAGCTCATTTGACCTTCATGCATTCAAGATAGAATCAAGCCTGGTATTAAACGGATTGTCATATTACTGAACAATCATGAAATGGTAGGAGATTATGAGATACATCGGCAGAAAAAAAATGCCACAGTTTAGAGTGGGCTAAAAAACGGCCTTATTGATACCCCTCCTTTTCTTAAAATTATTTGTTCTCTCGGATGACGTTACGATTGTTTGCAGGTCGCAGGTGGAATGGAATCACAGCAGCAACAAGTGCTAGCGCCCACGACGAGAAATCGTCTGAAAGGAAGACTGAACGCTAAAGCTATGCCAAAAATATGTCATTTGGCGTAGCGAAAGTGCGAGAGATTCGCGGTGTCGCACTTCAGGGTAATATCGGCGATTTCAATTGAAGAATCACCGATTTGAAAATAGAGAACAATGGTGACTAGACACGGCAGACGAGTCTGTCCGATCTCCAGCTGAGATTGCAAGTACTCGGCGAGCCGCGGAGAGACAGCAGTAGTACTGTCAGCACTTATTACGATAGTATGAAATCTACAGATTTCGGTAGCAGAAAGAGCAGCCAAGCAAGTGCTATTAGTGCTTTAAGAATGGATCCTGTGGGACCTAAAAGTTTTTACGATCCGATCAGTCCTGGTACATCTAGAAGAAGTAGTCAGATGAGTACTACTTCCGGCAGACTCAATCCACCGAATCATCTTCAAGGACCTTATTCAACGAGTAATCTCGTCGTTCAAACGCAAAATATGTCTCTTCAGGTAATGCTTTATGTTATGAGACTATGCACAAATACTACGGAGAACAATTTTAAACGATATGATATGTATGCGCAGAATATTTAGGCAATAACAGGCGACTGGAACAATCCGAGCGGCCATTGTACGCAACCGTCGAATGATCGATGAATGTCTGAACCTATTCACAGTAATTAGGCCCAAGGAAATTTCCCTCCGATTTCTTCCAGACTAAGATCGGCACAATTGTATGAATAGCAGCCTGAGCTTCATCCTAATCAAGAGGATCCTGGACGAGATGAATGAAAGTGAAATGGTAAAAAACAAGGTGCTTATTCCCGATGAAATGATGTAGTATTTAAAGGGGTAAGCGTATTTTTTATTTATTCAGATTCATATAATTTCTCTAACATTGATTTTTTTAAATCTTAAAATTATTGCTTTATAGGTTCAAGCGAGTGGAAATCAAAGTTATCGCAGCAGTCCTCTATTTATCAATCGCCGATATGTATGAATATTTTGCATTAGAAACGACAGATGCAACCCACGTGTAATTACAATCAATCACATCAACCAAACTGTTATCTCACTCAGAAAGTCGCACAGCAATTTTGTCCGAACTATTTGAATTCTTCTGCACCTTATGGCCAAAGTTCACGTACGACTCAACCTTTATTGCAGTATTGTCCGCCAACGAATTACGGATTTCAGGTTACTGGAGATCAAGCAAGCCCAGCCACGACGCAGGTTATGTCACCGAGTTCTCTTATGCTTCGACTCATTTGAGTGATCAACCACTAACGTCTCCCGCGGCTGGCGCATTGGCGCCGCAGCACGCACCGCAAAACTTGTCCCAAAACTCCGCCGAACTCACCAGAAATTGTGTCCAGAATCATACACATCATGCTTACTATCCAAATTATGGTTGCACTGGTCAAATTAACGCAAACTGCACCGGCACCGCCGCCAGTCAAGTCAATCATCATTCCAATCAGACTTGCGTATCATCTAATCACGCGATGCAAATACGATTAACAGATCAATAATTATCGTCACATTACGCGCAGCTGACCACACTTATATCCAATTCGACCATTTTCCATCCGAACACGCAGTGTACGCAGTCTTCCGGTCAATGCGCGAGGCCTATGGTAACGCCTAATAGTCAGATA